GCCTATCGCAGACCACCTAACCTTCGTGATATATTAGTACGATCTAAATTCAAGAGGCAAACTAACTCTTGCGACAACCGTAATTTGGGTAGTCATTTTTGTGGTTCATCATGCAAAACATGCTCCTTGCTTGATTCTACACAATCATTCAAGAGCAACCAAACAAACCACATATTTTGTATAAGGCAATCAATTAATTGCCTCACCAAAAATGTCATTTATCTCATATATTGTAATATTTGTGGTAAACAATGTGTCGAAGAAACATATAATATACATATACATATATATAGATATATATGTATATATGTATATGTATATATAGATTAAAAGGCAAAATACTGAAAAACAACAATGCTGTGGGAAACAATGGCTGGATCTCAGTAGAGATACAAAAATGATAAGCAACAGCTAAAAAGTAAACGTAAGTAAACAGCCAGAAATAGAACCAGAGCTTTCGGACAACACTAGTCCTTCCTCAGTGGCGAGTGAGTGAGGGTAGAAAAAGCTAGATGGAATAGAATTTCATGCAAGCATGATTGGAAACAATAGGCTGGGTGAGATTAGAATAAACAGCCTAAACAAGTAAACAGGAAGGCCAAAGCTAAACTTTAGAGGCAAGCCTCAATAAATAAGCCAAATGATTTATTCAGAATAAATTGAAATGCCATGTATATGGATATATATGTATATATATAAATATATATATATGTATATATATATATATATATATGTATATATAAATATAAATCAAGATAGCCCTAAATCGATATAGGCCCTATGTTTCATGTTGTTTGTTGAATGGTCTTTAGTGATATTATATTCTAATATGACCACAACTTAAGGAAGAACACTTTGTCACCTACAAAGTTCAGACCCGTATACATTTATATTTCCGCTCTATATCCAAATTTCAGGAAATTATACGTTTTATGCATGCACTGACGTGGGAATTTTTTTTTATGTTGTTTGCTGAATGGTCTTCTTTAAAAATATAACAGCCTAATATGACCACAACACAAGGAAGTTCATTCGTTAAATGTTTAGTAGATAGTACAGAAAATTATGATTGTTTATCAAAATCATTATATAAAGGGTCGGTGGCCTGCGGATTTTAGCACGAGAACGCGTAGGCGTTACTCCATGCTGAGCAAGGATAGCTGTTCTATAGCTGGGTACTACATTCCGGCTAAAAAAAACTTTGTCTTTCGGTCTCCGCCTTTTGGCCTTTTTACATCCTGATTGATGCGTCGGGGATAATAGCGTTGTGTTCGTTGACAATCAATAGAAAATTCAAAATTAGTGAATGGTAAAATAATCGAACTCTCCTTTCGCCCTCTGCTGGATCCGTCACTGAACTCATGAGTACACTTCCTTTTTTCCCTCTTTCTTTCTTCCCTTTAACTCTTCTCACTTTTTTTTTTCATTTTTCGGCGTGCCTGACAGGGGTGGGGGAACGGGCCCCTGTGGCCCCCCGCTGGATCCGCGCCTGAACCTACCTAGGCATATAGGTTGGCAAATCAGACAAACTATGCTTAGCCCAACTAGCCTTCAATTATATAAAATTATACAAACTGTTTTTGGTTCAATGTCGTAATAATGTATGTACGAAAGTGCGTTCTATTGTTGGAATATAATAATATATTGCTTATGTCTTTGATTTTTTTCTCTATATAATGGCCTAAAGAATGAGATAAAATTACCTGATCTTTTTCAAGAGGAGAAAACCTTGAATTTTGAAGAACTTAAAGGTCATTAAAAACTCCTCAGATGTCGGGAAAGCTCATTTCCGGCCATCTAGGAATCCAAATTTCCCAGGACCCCTTTTAATGTTGGGGTTTTTTTTTTAGACATTTTAAACCACCCTCTTTCATATCCTGGATCCGCCCCTGGCTAGAGTGCATTTCCCTTGTATTTCGAAAATTGTTTATAAGTACACAATGCTTTAACCAACACATCGTTAATCAGGGATGCAAGATGACGCTCAGTGTATAAACAATTGATAAACTTAACATTTACTCGTGAATTGCTAGGTACAAAAACGTAGGCTAACATTTCCAAATCGTTATTTTTGTACTTTTTGAAAAGCGTACACACACTTTCAACCCCCTTCCCCCATGGCCCAGCGTACGTTTTGTACGCGTGTGAAAATGAAGAAAATAATGGATTTTAAAATATTCCAAACCTGTACGCTTAAAAAAATAAATAAAATAAAAAATAAATAAATAAAGTTAACTTAAAACACAAACAACACGATAGGATATAAAGTTTGAGAGAATAATTGGTATACTGTACTGTATTTCTGAAGTGCCATTCGTTTTAGGGTTGCTACAATCAGGAGTTACAATCGATCCAACAACGGAAAAGCACTATCTATTTCCTTACATTCCAAAAAGGAGGATTTTGGATGCTATTTAAAATTTGCTGGAGATTGAAAAATTAACTGTGTGATCAATCTGCAAAACAGATTGATCACAAAATCAGAAGCATGATCTCAAACATCAGAACCCAGCTTTTATTGTTTAAAACTGTCGGGCCCCATTGAATGAAACTACGGTATTATAGTTTATATTATGTTTTGTTTAAACAATGTCGGGGGTGGGGGGAGGCCCTCGCACTTGGGGCCCTGGCGTTCCCCCTCCCCTCCGTCAGTGCCCGAGTGTGACGCCACTGATGTAACAACTGCTGATTGTAGCAACCCCAAAAATGAATGGCGCTTCAGAAAATACAGTACAAGTATACCAATTATTCTCGCAAACTTCATATCCTATCACGTTGTTTTTTATTGAAGTGTACAGTTTTTTTAATATTTTAAAATCCTTAAGTTAACTTTTTTTTAAAGTTTTTTATTATTTTTTTTATTTTCAATGAAAATTCAATGCGATCGTTAATATTGACCTTGGTACAATGTAAACCTGTAATCATAATGACTACTTATACAGAATTTTACTATATTAAAGGCCTAGACTAGGACCAGGCCTCCTACTATAGTACAGAGGCCTAGTCCAAGACCTTGTTGCAAATCCCAGCCCACATAAAGCCTAGCATATAATGCCTAGCATAATGCAGGCCCGTAGGCAGGATTTTCGATGGGGAGGTGCGTTTTGCAACCGAAGTGGACCTCACGATGGGCGACTTCCCCGCGAGGGTGGGGCGAATCTTCTGGAAGCTCTGACAAATTATCATTTTGAGGGCCTTTTTTAATGGATTTCTAAAATCCATAATTTGTAATATCCTATTTAAATTTTCATTCATTTAAGTATTGTCTAGGGACCTACAGTAAAAGCAGGAGAAATAGAGGGTGGGGGTGAAGGGATGAACTTGAGACAGATGGTCAATACCACCTCAGCCCCATGATTGGAGCTGAGGTGAGAAAATTCATGATTATGTCACCTCAAAATGGCCGGAAATGGCACTCTCAGACAATTATGATTTTTCTTTTTTCTGCATTTTCTTTTATAATTTTAGGGGGCTCTTCTCCCTGAAAAAGTAATGTTATTTGTCCTGTACATCTGCATGCCTATAGATAACATTCTTCATATTATGTAGATCAATCTGCAATCACCGGAGACGAACAAATTTAAGCCTACGTTTTGATAAATTAGACATTGAATTTTGCAATTACATTTTGATTTTTACATGGACTTTTGCTGCGTATGGCACCCCATAATAAAGTACTATAAAGACAAATAAAAGGTTATGACCTATGCTTCAATTGGCAGATGTTTTAAGCCTACAACTACAGTAACTAGCCTAGGCCTAGACCCTAGTATGGCTAGGCCTAGCCTAGCACTGCAGCAGTTAGCCTACGGAGCCACAGTGCTTATTAAAATAAATATTGTACAAACAAATATTTTATGTAAAATTTAGTGTCTATTATGGCCTTTGTCAAGGATTTGGATTGGCACCAATGCAGTTTTTGAAATCTCTAGGCCTAAGAAGCCTACACAGTAGGACCTAGGCTAAGCCTAGGCCAGCAAAAAAAAAAAAATGCCCCAGGCACCTATCATCTATAAAAATTAATATTAAAACTGAGCATAAACTATAAAAGAAGTGCATGCTTTTTCTGGAAATGTCCAAGTTTTGGTGTGGCTCTCAGTGTTAAATAAAAAATTCATTGGCCCTCCGATACATTTTTATGGCCACCCTGATCAATGTGATAGGACTAGTTCCTAATTTGCTCATGTGCTGCACATGCCTTAGAAGCTTTCACAAAAGTACACTGTAATATTTCTTCATAGGTGTCATAAAAAGCTGTAGCTTGGCAGTCGGCTTCTTGCCTTCCATCCTGGAGTTCTGACATCAAATCTTGCAATGTTGGAGGAATGAACATTTCTATATTTATATTCATTTTTTTATTTAAGTGAGAAAATAATTTTAGCTATATTTCCTCCGATTTTAGGACTTCTATGTAACACATCTAGAAACCTAAAATTATTGTACATTTATTTATTTGGCAATTGACATAAAAAAAACATACAAGCATAGTAAAATTTGGTAAAAAGCAAAAATACATTAAAGTGTATAAAAGGTTGGATTGGATTTATTTGGTGTAAACACCAAGGATAGCCCACGAAAGTCTAGAAGAAGACTTATTTCCAGTGGGGTCCTTCTGGTGGTGATTGGGCAGTACACCGGGAGACAATCCCCTACAATTCCGAAGAGTGTACTGCGTTCTTTAACGTGCACATGGGCCATCAATGCACACAGGACCAACAGCTTAAATGTCTCATCCGAAAGACGGTGCGCTATTATAACTTGTATTTCAGCCTTCCAGCTGAAATACAAGGAGAGGCAGCGATGGGAATTGAACCGGGGACCTATACTGCCGTGATTCGGAAGAACTCATTATAAGCCAAAATCATAGTTTTAAGATATTGAGCAAAACACGTTTCTTGTTAACCTTTTGTTATGGAAATGAATTATATTGAGTCTATTTCGTGAATACTTACAATGAAAAAAATGTACTAATTACACAACAGAAAAACATACTGACGTACTTTTTTTATATATTTTTTTCTATAACCCAGTCAAAATGGACATAATGCGCTTTTCCAAATTAAAACAAAAGTCAATAAAGAATGAAAACTCTGATGTTAGGCATTATATCCAGTTTTGCCAGTAGAATGCATGCATTATTCTTTACTTAAAGACTAAGGAAAAATTACAAATTAAAGTCAATTGTCACCAGGACTTTAGAGGTTTAAATTCCATTATGTTTAAATTACTTAGAACAAAACAAAATAGAAAGTTTTGTTTATATTATTTAGCAACATTATCACATTCACTCTCATAAAATATTTACAAAATGTGTCTGATCTGATTTAGTAAATGTTGTATTTCCCCTAAAATATGGTATGGTACATGTAAAATTTAAATTAAATACTATCGTTAACCACTACAGAAAGAACAAGCAACAACACTGTCAGTAAGTTTTTTACAACATAAATAATCAGTTTATTTAAATTCACTTTGAAGAATACCTGCCTTTCAATTTAATAAACAAAAAATAAATACCCAACTTCTAAACACCCATTTATAAATTTCTGTTTCCTTAAATTATAAGGAAGTGTACTCATTTAAATATAGCTAAATATTTTAAATGTAAATTTAGCATAGGTATTATATCTAAATTCTAAGCATTGGCTTAATTGGAAAGTCTAAGTAAAACATTTTTAAGTTTGATACGTATGTATTTTATTTTGTTTGTTGAATGGTCTTAATTATAATAATAATATTAATATTACAGATTAAAATTTATATTATGGCCACAATTTGGTCATGGTCATATTGCAACTTATTTATTAAAAGATGAAGAACAATGCATTCTTCTTTTATTAATTGTACTTTGATCAAAAACAAACTTGGTATTATGCCTTATTATGCCCTTCCACCAGCTAGGGAACTAATTAAATATGCATCATTGTCTTCTGTGATTGGTTGATTGCTTGCTTTTCAATGCTTGGTGGATATATATATATATTTTTATACCTCCATGATATAATGCACTCTTCCGGATTTTTTTTGCTTTGGTGGATGGATATAATGCGTAACTCTTATATTAATTTCATATTTATAAACATTTTTCATTTTTTAGGGTATATGATCAATTCACATGATAGATTACATCCATAGGATGCCACTAAGCCAAAAACCTCAAAATTCTCAAAAATGGATATAATGCATTTTTCCAAATCACGGCAGTATAGATCTCCACGATTCAGCGCACACACAGTGGCTACCACCAGATTAGCCGGCTGAGCTAAGTTAAAATGTCCTAACAAAAAAAGAAGGAAATTGTTGCAGACAAGAACATTCTTACAGTACATACTCATTGTAAATTTAATGTAATATTTCTTTTAGGTAAATTGCATGTGATAGGAATATAAAAAGCAGCATCATTTATTATTAAATTCAGTATTCTGAATATGAAATTGTCCCTATTTTTCCTACAACCTATCTTATAACTACCATGTGCTGTTGCACAACCTGTCACATAGCATGACCTGAACCAATACCTTACCAGTGAGCTGTTTTACTTGGCTGTGTGTATATATTTACAGTTCATGTACAACATAGTGGTTTATATTATGTGAGCACAGCAATATGCACAGCAATTAGTAGTTTATATACCTTAATAATAATATTAATAATAATAATAATAATTGCATTATTCATTTTGCTTCACTTTCTCTACAGGCTTACTTGCCCTTTGACATGTCAAAAATGTTTCTATGGCAATCAACAAATGACCTAGCGATCAGGGAACCAGGTAGGTGTCATCTATTGTAATCAACATTAAAAAGTGTTTAATTTTTTCTATGTAAAAAATATATATCAAGGAAATAAATTCCTTGAGTGCAACTGCCACCCAAGATATCAAGGTTTAAATTTAAATTACTCACATAATTGACCAATATTCACTAAAAAAAATTTTTTTAAACCATTTTTAGAATGCATGCATTATTCTTTACTTAAAGACTAATGAAAAATAACAAATTAAAGTGAATTGTCACCAGGTTTAAATTTAAATTACTCACATAATTGACCAATATTCAATAAAAAAAAATTTTTTTAATCATTTTTTTTTATTCACAAATATTCCGCTACGAAAATTTAAAAATTTGCTGTTAGAAATTTTAAAAACTTTAATTGCATACTCAAGAACTGTAGAAGTTGTGTTATTTAAATTTTCAGTAATGGCTGATAACATTATTCCTTTCGAATGTTGAAAGCATTAACCTATTAAAATATATACAAAATTAAGAAATTTTTTTTTTCTTCAAATTCTAATATTTTTGACTAATTAAATTTTGTAAACTCTAAAACAGTTTTGTGAAGGGCAGACTTTTAGCAACATTCCATCATCAGTAGCTACAATGCTTTCCCATTGGAATTGGCCCAAGTCACCATAACATGGGACGAGTTTCACCACCTCTTTGCTATCAACCTCCAAGAGCACTGTTATTGTCTGTTCAGCATCAAAAACCGCTAGGTGACCTTCAGATGTGATGGTGATAGCAGCAGGCATATCAAAGCTGTCATCACAACACCCAAATATCTTTATACATTCTCCCTCCTCATTTAGCTGTTGGACACGGTTGTTATAACGATCAGAAATGAATATTGTGTCATTATACAAGCAGACATCTACAGGAGTATCAAATTTGCCAGGTTCCTTCCCTCTTCCACCAAACTCTTGGAGTATTTTTCCATTGTAGTCCAATATAAATAGCATATGGTCCACACTGTCAGTTACATATATACGTCCATTGGTATCTACATCCAAACCAATTGGCTTTTTCAGTGTATGAAGGGTGAAATTCTTCAGTATTTTTCCTTTTGTGTCTAGGATTTTGATATGCTTACTGTCTCTAAACAAGATGATGATGTTATCATCATGATCGATAACAAGACTTGAAGCGCCATCAGCATCTACCAAAATTGACCCAATACATGTGTGTGTCATGTTGTACTTTTGAATGCGTTTGTTGATTGATGTGTCTGCCACATAAATGTTGTCATTGCTATCAATAGCAAGGGCTGATGGTCTAACTAGTTTATTGACCTCAATGTCAGTTCGGCCCACTGCCAAGTACTGTCTGACAGTAAGTGAGATGGGACTACCATTCACCACTGTTTTATTCATGCCAATATACAACTTATGTTCTCCTATTTCAGTTGGAATGTACCTGATATTGTATATTTTGTCACTCTCTTGTACTACGTCACATCGAATGGTTCCCCCGCTGGGACAGTCTAACTCGGCCTGTATTGGTAGCTTGGCAGGCATAGGTCTTGCTTTTCTGGATAAATCAATGGCTGTTAGTGAGACTTTGGATGGTTTCTGATAGACTTGAGGATGTACTGTGGTTTTAAGTTTACATATTGGAATACTTAGAGGACTGTTTTTGATGTGTACTCCATCAAGCATCACATGGGCAACATATACTCCTGCAACTTTAGGCTCAAACTTTACTTGATATGAACCGTTTTTCATGTCGTAAAGATGGTAAGGCTCATCGGTAGATGTTTTTGGAGCTTTCAGAATAACATTAATGTTCATTCCTCCATGATTACATTTTAAACCTCTGTAATTCATCATGTGTATATTTACTGTACATTCAAGGTCTAAGAATGCTATAGTGTCATCACAGTAACTTAAGTATGGTATTGCAGAATTGAACTCTAGCTGTCCAATACCACTTATACAACCTATAAGTCTATCCTTAGCATACTCTGCCTTGCTGAAACTCATCATTTGTGGACCTATAACTTGTTTGCTTGCTGGAGGAACACTCAATTCTTTCATTGTCCCAACCATGCTGTTTTTTATTTCAGCTATATCTTTATCATCATTATACTTTATAGCCATACTAGCCACACTTTCCATTTGTTTAAATCTTTCCTTTAAAGCAGAAGCCTTTTTATTTTGGAATTCTACATATTCCTTCATTTCTTTGGCGTACTTGTTAGCTTGTTCCATGACTGTTTGCTCTCTTTCTTTGATTATGTCATAACAGCTTTGAAAGAAATCCTCTATGGTACCGTGGACCATTTTTGTTGTTGTCTCAATCTGTTCCATTTCTTTTGCCTTGTTCTGTTCTAAGTATGTCCACTGTCTACTAATAACCTTCATGTCACGTATACTACATTGCAACTCTTTACGACATTTTTCTGCTGCCTTTGACAAGTCAATCACAGTGTGTCCATTAGTGGAAGAATGGTCCTTAACACAAGATTTGCAGACTGCTTTCTGGCATGAATCCTTTGTACAAAAGGACTCTATCTTCTCTTTATGAGTTGGACACACATGGTTGCTCATCAGCATATTACTTTCACCATTTTTAAATTTCAAGACAAGATTATCACAAGAGATAACTTCATGTTCATCTTTGTTTTCATCATGCTCTCCACAGCAGTCCTTACAGAGAAATACTGAGCAGTCTTTACACCAGACCTTTGCCCTGTGATCATTATCACATTTCTGACATTTTGACATACCTCTGGTGACATTATTGATGTCAGTTATAATCTGTGGTAGTTTATTGTCTGGCAGACCATCAATGCCTGACACCGGCACCACTTGTTCCATGCCACAGTCATCCATAGGACATTTGTAGGTACTCTTTTCAGTTACTGTCTTTTGAACACAGCTCTTGCAGATGGAATGGAAGCATGCCATATACTTAGCTGTGTGATCATTGTGGTCATATTTCTGCTGACATTGGCTGCAGTGCGTAATCTCATGTTCTTCTATTCCATCCATCTCTGTTGTTAATCTACACAATCTAAAAAAAATTAATCATATGCTTTATAATTGTGATACTAGGGTAAACAAAATTATCATTAATTTTTACTCTCAATAGTGTTCTGTTTGTCTTCCTTATCCATACTTAAAATGCTTTCTGGTGGTTTTAGATACAGTAAGCCTATATTTTCTTTAGTCTACAGTGAGTGTATTTTAGTTTCTATTCTCAGTTTAGATACAGATTCAAATATTTCTGTTTTACATCCTGTGTGGGTTTTACAGTAGTAGTTTTTTTAAAGATAAGCATAGACACTTTGGTATTATTTGTGGCAAAGACATACCAAATCCATTCACTCATTAGAATCCGTCTGTGGGAGATATAGGTCAATTGTTAAAAGTTCAACATAATTTTTAAAATCTGTTTGAAGGCGAATCTTTTTTTATACGTTGTTTAACGAACAACTCCGACAACATGATTTATTTTGAATACAAACACAACTTTTTTCATGCCACGAAAAGTGGAAATTTTTAAAAATATTTTTATGGTTTATTTTTTGATATATATTATTATTTTTTGATATATTTATGGTTTATTTTTTGATATATTATTATTTTTTGATATATTTATGGTTAATTTGTATGTAACTGGTTTTGTTTGGTAATGGAATTACATGACACTGTAACGAAATTACATGTCCATTTACTGATTAGAATAAAACATCATTCAAACTTTCCAAAATATTTTTAAGATGTATTTTATTTCATAACCTTATACAAGACTTTCTTTTACCTTGTTTAGTGAACACCCTGACCCTTATACAAGACTTTCTTTTACCTTGTTTAGTGAACACCCTGACCCTTATACAAGACTTTCTTTTACCTTGTTTAGTGAACACTCTGACCCTTATACAAGACTTTCTTTTACCTTGTTTAGTGAACACCCTGACCCTTATACAAGACTTTCTTTTACCTTTGTTTAGTGAACACCCTGACCCTTATACAAGACTTTCTTTTACCTTGTTTAGTGAACACTCTGACCCTTATACAAGACTTTCTTTTACCTTGTTTAGTGAACACCCTGACCCTTATACAAGACTTTCTTTTACCTTTGTTTAGTGAACACTCTGACCCTTATACAAGACTTTCTTTTACCTTGTTTAGTGAACACTCTGACCCTTATACAAGACTTTCTTTTACCTTGTTTAGTGAACACTCTGACCCTTATACAAGACTTTCTTTTATCTTTGTTTAGTGAACACTCTGACCCTTATACAAGACTTTCTTTTACCTTGTTTAGTGAACACTTTGACCCTTATACAAGACTTTCTTTTACCTTGTTTAGTGAACACTCTGACCTTTAATAATGGTGATTTATATCGAACATGAATACAATTTATTTTCCGCCACGTAAAGGGATTTTTTTGGATATATTTATTGTTTAGCGCAGTGGGAACGGTTTGGTATCCCAACCTTGAGGTCGGGGTTCCAGTCCCCTCGCTGTGCATATCACTTGTGTCCTTGGGCAAGGTACTTTATCTGCATTTCTTCTATCTGCCCAGGAGTATAAGTGGGTACCTGGTAGGGTAAAATGCCAAAATGCGCTGATGTAGCTGCTGCAACTTTATGGAATAATCCTCCAGGGGTGTTTGTGTTCCATAGGTGTTTGTGTTCCATAGGCGTTTAATCCAATGACCGGGGGTAGTAGTGTGAAGCGCTTAGATTCCTTGTTGGCTTTAAGCGCTACATAAATCAAACATATTATTATTATTGTTTATTTTTTTTATATATATTATTATTTTTGATATATTATTATTTTTGATATATTTATGGTTTATTTGTATGTAACTGGTTTTGTTTAGTAACAGAATTTCATGACACTGTAACAGAATTACATGTCCGATTACTGATTAGAATAAAACATCAAACTATCCAAAAACAATTTGTTCATATAAGCGGTTTGGTGCAGCAGGAACGGTTTGGTTTTCCGACATCGAGGTCATGTTTCAATCCCCTGCTGTGCATTTCGCTTGTTTCCTTGAGAAAGGCATTTATTTGTGTTGCTCCTCTCCACCCAGGAGTATAAGTGGGTACCTGAGGACGTTTGGGTGCAAAATACGCTAATATATTTCATGTGGCAAATTATGGAAATTCCCCTATAGGCATTTTTCTAATGGTTGGCGTATTTTTCTAATGGCTGGCGTAATAATGTGGAAAAGCGCTCTGAGAATATAAAAACGTACATGTTATTGTTATTATTATATTAGTTAGTGTTCTTTTAAAATTGTATCAGATGATTGTAATAATGGTCATTTCCTAGTGGTTCCAAAGAGCTTGTATCATGCACATAAACCACTTAGGAAGTAAGTAATCTTCAAAAACTTTATCTGGTTTTTGTTGTTGTGGATTAGTAAATTCAATACTATTTCCATCATATTTCAATAAAAAAATACAATAGAAACTCTGTTTACACAATAAATAAGAATGCAAATAACAACTAATAACCACACAGCACAGCAACAAAGCATGACATCAATAAAAATTGTAAGATATACAAATTTAAATTATTAGTTTGTTTTATTATAACTATTAAAAAAAAATGTGCTATACCAAGTTAAATAAGAAGGAAACCTTTAAGAATCCTTTTGAATTGCGCTATATGCACATTTGGCATTAATTGGCAAATATTTCCAGATTCCTTTTGACTGGAATTAGGAAGTCATCATTATTGTGGTTTTCACAGTGAGCAGTAAAAAAAATATAAAGCTGGTAAAATATCATATTTATATTTGTACATAAAAATAGCAAATTCATTTGTCATACATGCTAACATTTGAGTGATAAAAATCAGAACAAAATCAGATATATGTGTTTCTTCGTTGATTCTTAGTATTTTAGCACTACACGCCAACCGAGGGCCGGAGGCCAAGTGGGGGTGGGGGGACTGGGTTGGGAGAGGGTGGGGTGTCCCCTCCTTCTTGTAAGGTGGGGGTCCAAGAGAACGATCTTCAATCAGGAGGCAAGACTCAAATTCAGGAGTCTTCTGATCAAATAAGGAGTGTTGGCATGTATGATTTGTATACATGTTGTAAATATCCAACACATTATATTTTACAAATAATGATTTTAGTTGCACACAGATATGACCTATCTTTTGACCTATGACCTATCTTTTGATAAAACCAATGTATTTTATGCACTGCTACATTTCGAATTACTTCTAGTAAATCTTCATCAGGAACTGAAGCTGATTCTGGTTTTTGTTGCTAGGTGATTTGTAGCGCCCTCTACTAGCCATACTGATATGTTTTGCCAGGAGACCTTTTCAGGAACTAAAATTTTGTCATACATGTGTACGTGTGGGATAGCCAAAATGCCCTCTCATCTCTGTCAATGGTTTTATTACTGTTTGTAATCCATAGTGCTTCCTTTATTATATGTTTCTGTCATGTGTTTTTGCCCAGTAATTTGGCTTCTCTAATTAGGTGTATGATTGAATTTGGTCATATGGTCAGTAACACTGGATTTGTGAATAATTTGTGACTTGGATTTTCTGGATGAAAGTGTTACATCTTTCCTACGAAGTAGGTTGTTTGAACTGTGATGCTGTTTATATTGAACAGACATGAAGAATGTTTAAACATTTGAACTGTGATGCTGTTTATATTGAACAGACATGAAGAATGTTTAAACAAAGACCAGAACAACAAAAATTAACAACATTCTATATTGTGGCAAAAACAAGCCAAATCAGTCACTCCTCGCAAAAATTGATTTTCAGTTATTAATACAGGGTTAAAAAGTAAAATGAAAGTTATAAATAAATGGTGAAAGAATCATATAAATGAGGCATTTTGTTGTGAAGTTGGGTTTAAACGTACGGCTGTTTTTTCAGTACAGGTATTTGAGAAATCAGCCTTCAAACTTTACAATTTTGGGGTGACCATCACCAAATCACTAAAAAATATTATTTTAACATCAAAAATGAGGAAAATAGCAACATAGCATGATGTATCTATATAATGGGATAAGTTTAGTTCACTAAAATAGATTTCTAAAATTTTGACATTCCGGCATGTTTTGGACATTATCTCAGAAACATGATTTGTGAGGACTGGTTTGGCTTATTGTCTTCGCCATATATGCTCCATTATGCTACATCACCCAGGGCATTATGTGGAGAAAATTGTGAGGCCCAATAAAAAAAATTATTAGTTTATCACCCTCGCACACATATCTTCTGTGGCACACTGAAAAAAAATATTTTTTTTATTAAATATTTAGTAGAGTTAGTAGTCATGTTTTACTATGAATATCAATGCACCAGCAAATATACAGATATTTGGCTTTAGCAAAAAAACACTTTTCTTGCCTTCTTGATAGGGGGATAAACAAATAACATTTTACGTCGTGGCTAGAGATACGGTACCGTATCTGAAATTCCGATCGCTAAAGGTACGGTAAATGATATTACGTCATGATTAGCCAATAGAAATGACCGACTCGATTTTGGCTTTTTTGCAAAGTCGACGTCGCGATCATGAGAAACGTGTGGTGCGAACAGTTATGATCAAATTTATGTCATAATGGCCCATTTCATGTACTTCGATTGGGGCTTATCACAATGTTTGGGTTAAAAGTCCTTATTTCTTATTCTTGCGTATTTTATGGTCTACCATAGAGAATGGTCTACTATACTAAGCGTAAGGCTAGGTTTAGGCCGAATTCTAGGCCGAATACCCGCCTAGGGGCCTATGTTTATATAGGCGTACTACTAGGCTAGGCTTAGGAGGCACTAGTTATTATTGCTGATTGAAATAGCCAACCAAGCAACATGGCGATTGTAATTATCAGTGAGAGTAAACTTTATTTGTAGTAGTAGTATAGGCCTACAGTGCGTATACTACAGGGAATTTTATGCACAGTAGCAGGGGTAGCTAACCTAGCTTCTACTATTAAAATAGTTCACTCTCGCTTGATGTCGGCAAATCTAGCAAAACTGCTATCCTTTTTATTTGCTATAGGGCCTTGGGCTACAGAATATTAATCACAGCTTGTCAACAAAACCCGCGAACAAACAAAATTTCTTATCTTCGATCGTTGCTAAAACCATCTAAAACACACACTACTCTTGCAGCAGCTGTGCACTGAATGACGTCACGCATGCATTGGCGTTTCTATTGGCTAATCATGACGTAATATCATTTACCGTACCTTTAGCAATAGGAAGTTCCGATATGGTACCGTATCTCTAGCCACAGCGAACATTTTTATAGGGCCTAAAATATTAATATGGTATTACTGTAAATAGAAAGATTTTAAAAATAGTTATTTGTGGAATAGGTTAATTGGTTGAGAGTATTATTAGAAAAATAAGTAAATTTCCATTTCTGTTAATAATAGCTCTTTAAAATGGATTCAAACTATTCTCTTTAGAACACTCACCTTAGGATTCTATCTGGAATCTCTTCATAGGAAAATCCCCTAGTGGTTGTGGTTTATGTAGCGAGTAAGTATTGTGTAGTTCTGGATGGTTGGCTCAGTTTGTATAGCCTTATAATTCCTTAGTGACAATTGACCTTTGAGCTATTCCATTTTAACATACAATAGTTATTTTTTATAGATCTATTCATCACACCCAATCGTAATTATTATAGGTTGGTTGGGTGCTTGCTTTGCATGTTAGTCAACAACAATGGAAAATTGTCTGTGATGTTGTTATTAGACATAGATTCTTATGATGAGAATATCCCTATGGTATGAATGGAACATTTTGATTTCATATGAGGTTCAAACGTTTATATGGATTATATTTCCTCATATCGTTCAGAATCCTGTTTAGCTTCAAATAATAGAAAATTCCTCACATTTTCAATGTAATAGTTTCAGATACATAATTAAAAATCATAAGACTATCTAATAATTAAAAATAGCATTGGGAAAACCCAATAGCATTTTGTTTAAAAGATTATACCATACGCACACTAAAAAATGGCGGAGAAGCCATATTCATTAAATATTTTATTATTTATTATAACCTCATTAAGCCCTATAAAAAATATTACTTTAGGCCCTATAAAAAATATTATTAGTTTATCACCCTACTGTATCTGGGCAGGAAAAGTGATGAGGGAGGGAGGTTTTTTTTTTTATTTTTTATTTTGCTAAGCCAAATATCACCCTTGGGTTGTTTGCTGGTGCATTGATAAAATATTGATTTAATATTTAATATATTGATTTAATAAAATAAATGAAAAAAATTAATAAATAAAATAATTTAAAAAAAAAAATTCCAAAATTTTTTTTTTCAAAAAAAAATTCCAAAATTTTTTTTTTTTTTTTTTTTTTCAGTACCATAAAAGACATGCGCGCGAGGGTGATAAACTAATAATTTTTTTTATTGGGCCTTATCACCCTATCTGGGCAGGAAAAGTGATGAGGGAGGGAGGATTTTTAAAAATTATTTTTTTTTGCTAAAGCTAAATATCACCATTGGGTTGTTTGCTGGTGCATTAATATTCAAAGTAAAACATGATTTTGATAATGCAAACAATATCTATTAACTATTTAATAAAAATAAATGAAAAAAATGTATAAATAAAATTTTTTTTTTAAATTTTTCTTTCAAAATTTTTTTTTTTTCCAGTACCATAGAAGACTTGCGCGTGGGGGTGATAAACTAATAATTTTTTTTATTGGGCCTTACACACGTTCTAACTCCTAAACATTCAAGAAGGACCTATGTTAAAAAACACTACACATCTTTATAGAGGGTGGGAGACAACCCAAACATTTATGTATATACTACAGACTTCTTAAGTTAGTAAGATGCATGTCAGTAAACCTGCTATCATCCATAGTAAATATAAAATATCCTAACACCAATTAATTTGTTTTGAGTGCAAATGGATTGCAAAAAAATTACGGGTACAGGATAATACAGTTGTAGAATTTTAAACAATGGGCCAAATTTTTTTTTTATGTTTGACAATAATTTATTTGTTCTGGACTTAAGACCTACTGTATTTATTTATGGGTCTGACGCTAGGCCTATGATAAATTTCCATAGTATTAAAATAAAAATAAAAATAGATTCATAAATAAAAAAAACAAAAGGAAGTCAAATAATGATAAAATAAATGTAATGCTGTGATTTTGTTCCAGCATGTCCTTCCATACAAACAATAAATTAAATCAACAATTGTATCCCTCCTTCCCAATGAGAACATTTCTAAAAATAAGCCTCTAGATGCTCGTACAGAGCATCTTGACCTAAAGATGGTGTTATTTGTATCTCATCAACATCCAAACTATTTATTTACCGGGCATATCAAATTCAGGTTAACATTTGATATAAATGTTTTTAAGTATTATTTTTTATTCCCCGACCAATCTCTCCTAAATTCTCCGACAGGAGTGGGGCGAAGTTAGCCCCCTCATAGCCCTGCCATAATAGTATCAGCAGGTGTTGTCCCAACACCAATTGAAGACTTTTAGTATTATTCAGTATTCATTATTATTTTGTTAAGCATAATATTTACATAGCATTGCAAACATCCATTATGAATACCGGTATTACTCATTCTAGATTTTTGGGCTGGACTAATATAAGTGGACTTATATATGAGCTGTCTTATATATAAGTGACATAAACATCTAAATGATCACCCGTCAGATACCACTTTGGTATTTCTGATTCAGTGGTTTTCAGGGCTGGAATTTAAATATTAAAACTACATGATCAAAACTATCCATGCAGGACACCATCCCGGTAATTTTGAATGCACGTTTCTTAGTCATAATTCCATTTGAACTTTTGCCTGCATTGTGTTCCTTTTACATCCTCGTTTATCCAGCGTAAAGTGCCCTAGTTGTTCCCTCAAAACAATTGACTGTCTACCTTGAAATACTGAAGTAGTTTTAAGTGGTATTTAGCAATTATTTGCCAGATCAAAAACAGACAATTCAAACACACTCACAGCGCTAAGAAAATGCTCATTATGCCACAAGTTCCTGAAGTGTAATGAAGATGTAATGTACTAAAGAGATAAAAATATATAGTAAGTACCAACTGAAAATAATATTCCAGGAGTTTTGCTAAGTATACTAATTTAATATATTTTTCATATTTTGACTTGGCCAAACAAAATCTATTAACAAATGACGTAAACAATGTAAAGCACATTTCAATATATCTTTACAATTTTAAAAATTTCAAATTTAATAATGTTTACTCTGTAATTAATTACTCACTTGTATTGTATTTTTTATATGTATTTACAAGGAGGTATTTTATACCTCCTTGGTATTTAAGACATCCTGTAAAAGGCTTTACTGTAGCATCGGAGGATGTTTGAAATGAAATAAAATAAAACATCATATTTCTACATGAGTGAATAATATCATTTGTGTAATAACAAATTGCGTAAACAATGCAAAGAACATGATTTCCACATGAGTGAATGATATCATTTGTGTAAAGTGATGACTTTTACTTTGCAGATAAACATCATGAGATGCCACATTTCTCTGACTCAGAGCTTGTAGCAAAATACGGACACAAAGAGGAACTAGATTTTACTTATTACTTGAAACAAGGAAGACCAAGTTTTGCCTTCACCTCATTTGTTGAAAATCAGTTTGAACTTGGTGGAACCACCAAAAAACGGTAAATTCCTAGAGTTATAAATAAAGTAATTAGGCATACCCAAAGATATATGGATATATAGTGTAAGAATGACCATAACTAACTTTTGTTTGAAGTATTAGTATGTAACAGATGATGTCCAATAATTTTTAATTAGTTTTATTTGTTTATTCTGGTATAAAAGCATAGAATATTGGTCAGCAGCACATGGCTAAATATAAAGAACAAAACAATACTGAAACAAATTAAAGCTGAAAATAATAAATCACTTTAAGCCAATGCAAATTTTTCCGTCCATAAAAAGTTCTATTCTACTGTTTAGTACAATATCTTATCTACTGTACATTGTAGATGTATTTATAAGTCTATTCTACTGTTTAGTACAATATCTTATCTACTGTACATTGTAGATGTATTTATAAGTCCTTGATACTTTCAACAGGATAGGCCAAGTAACATCCTGTCTTATAACTCTAAGGAGTTTTCCAATGAAAACTAATAAATCATTAAAGATTGGTAGAGTGAAATTACAGCTGTAAAATAAAAAGGATATAAATTTTAACATACATGTCATCAATATTTTGACATCAATTAATGCCATCATCAATCCTGATGACGACATAATTAATGTTGAAATATTGAATCTAAAATGATGGCGTGCATTTCAAGACTTGGAGTATGTATTATACTTTCTTAAATAAGATTAATCAGTAGTCCTTTCGGTAGCGATTAAAGTATTTGTGGCAAAGACAAGCCGAACCAGTCACTCATTGCAAATCGTGTTTTAGAAATAATGACCAAAATATGCTGGAATGTCAACATTTTTAAAATCTATTTTGTTGCACTAAACTAACCTTTATATATCTATACATCATGCTATGCTGTTATTTTGCATATTTTCAATGTTAAAACAACAATTTTTAACGATTTGGTGATGGTTTCTGCCTGGGAAATGCTAGAAATCATAAATTTTGAAGGCTGATTTATCAAATATTTTTCTTTAAACAGCTGTATGTTTGAATGCTTGTAACTTCATAAGGAAATGTCGGATTTAAATGATACTTTCACCATTTTAGAGCTCTCATTTTACTGTTTAACCCTGTATTTTTGCGACGAGTGACTGGTTTGGCTTGTCCTTGCCACATTTGATTTTAGTGTTACATTCTTTGTTCATCATCATTATCATCATCATCATTACTGCCATCATCACCATCACTACCATCATCACTATTACCATAACTATTGTCAATATTACAACATTAGGCTATGGAGGTATACCTTCATGATTAGGCCAAGTCTTCTTTCAAAGAAAAAAAAATATCTACCGTATACTATATTTTTTTTTACTGTTATGCTCTTAATCTCTCATCAGAATAAGCCAAGCCCAGGCAACAGCTTGTCTTATTGCTCTGAGAATGTTTGCTTGCCAAGGAGTTGCAGCTGGTTGTGTAGCTTTCATAGAGATGATAGGCAGGGAGAGCACAAGGCTTAGGGTAGACTTGCAGACTTCCAACATTATCTATAACTTTCAACAGAAAGAAGAAGAATGGAGGAAACAGCACAAGACTCAGTGGCAACAGTGGCTGTTGACTGCTGAGAAGAAAATTGGTGAGCCCTGTCCAAACAATCACATTTTATCTTACAAAAACATGTGACATGCCTAAATATGGTCATGATGACATCACATCATGTCTATACAGTATATAGGCATAACATGACTATATATTGGCATATCATCACTATATATGGGCATATAGTACAGCAGTTTTTGTCAAAGGAAATTTGATAATGTGGGTTTAATAAGTCAGTAACGTTATCAAATTTATCAAACATTAAATAATTGTTATTGAACGGGGACAATCCTTGTTACAGTGCAATTCATATTTTTCACAAGTTGTTTATATTGTATATACATAGTATCAACATGTATGGGGACAATATGTTGTTCTCAAAATTATATTGTCGTAAATATTGTGTTTATCTGTTTTGGTTTTTTTTGTCTATTTTAAAATTTTGTTTTTGTTATATTTTAATTTGCTTAGCGGGAAGTATGCTGAATGCATTTAAAAAACGTGGAAAAAAAAGCAGTGAGATGTTAAAGAAAATGCTGGAAGCTGCTATTTCAAATAGACTGGCTACATCCAACATACATAGGTAAGAGCTGTTGACTGAAGAGTGGCATTCAAATAAACTAGCTACTTGCAGAATATAGGTAAAAGCTACAGTATAGGCTCATTTTGCTATCACACTATACAGATATTATGTTGGCATGGACATCTGCAAACATCCTGACACAAATATCGACAGCACAAGGGTAGCAATGCATTTCCTCAGCATCTCCCCACATTTGGAACAATATTCCACTAATCATAAGACAAGGAAAATCTGTGGACACATTTAGGTCACTACTTTAAAACATATTTATTCGAACAAATAACTGTAATATAATTTATAATCATTTGAATGTGTTGACTTTTTTTCTTAATATCTGAGTGGGCTGCTCTGTCTCTTGGGGTCACTATCTTGGTTGCAGTCCCTAAGCACATTGTTGCCTGTGGCAGGGTAAAGGTGAAACCTGCTCCTTTGTTCGCGCCACATAGGTTAGGGATCGTGCCACATAGGTTAGGGATCGTGCCAGGACAGAAACGGATGGTTGACCCTTTGAGACCTACCACTGTTTGCCACTACACCTTATATTATTGTTATCTCATGATGCTTTTTGACTGGTCAATATGTGTGATGTAAATGTAAATTATAATTATTATTATTATTATTATTATTATTATTATTATTATATTATACAAACAGAACTCCATGCATAAGGTAGCATGTGTACTCTCAAACCCAGGCAGTACATACTCAGCAAAGATTTTGAGATAATAAGATACTGATAATAAGATTATAAGATATAAGATTGTATTTTTTATTTTTAGTTGTTCAATGGAAGCAGCAAGAGCATGGGACATTGCTGTGATGTTCTGTGGTTTCCATCGGTTACCACTCTCAGATGTTTACTTGAAGGAATGTGCTAAGATTGATGACTGGCTGCATTTCACAGTGTTTGCACACCAGCATCAGTATCCAAAGGAACATGTTAGTATTTAGCAACTTTATTATTCATGCTCATTCTAAAATTATTTAATCATCATCAACATCTTCATTATCAATATCATGGTGTATGTATGCTGTTTGACTTGAGGTAGTGCTTCCTGTCTTGGGCTGGATGTGTCCATGTGCTCAGTTAGTGTCCATGATGTTTATGTGCAATTTTTCATGCGTTATCATATGCTATATTTATGTATGCGATAACATAACTTTTTGTCTTGATGGTTAACAATCTGCATTTAAAATTTTTATGATGTTTTGATTGTACTCCCAAATGTAGGTTCTTGAACTTGTGCAGTTGTTCAAAAGTTCAAGTCTTAGTGAACATCTATCCCTTGCATTTGAGAACCCTGTTTATGGACCATCATTCCCACCAAAGGAACAGCAAGGTGTTTCCAAGCAATCAACTGTCACTAAAAAAAAATTAATAACTCGAGATTCAAGAACTAATTACTTGTTTAAAGTTGGCTTTGATAGCAGTAGAGTTGGTAAGTTGACATTGTTATTTATTTACTTATTATTTATTTATTGAACATATTTATACAGGATAACATATCAGAAGGATGTAACAGCCTGTTTTACATATGGTCCTGTTTTGTGATACGAAATTACAGTATATTAAAATCAACAAGTTGCATATTAATATAATTGAAAATAAACTTAATTGCAAATGTGATAAAAAGCTTAATCTAAAACACAGAATACATTGAATTTTGTTAAAATACATGGAAAAAGTTAAAATCACAAGGTAAAGTAATAAATTTAATGATAAAACTTTTTATCCAATAATAATTCAGTAGTGAAAGTAAAGAGATAGTAAAATGGTGTTATTAGTAAGGCTGTGAAAGCTATTGTGGAAGATATAAAGTGGCAGCCCCACATGGTATGTCACAAATGAAAGGTTCATTCCAATGGGAAGTTTATATGCTACAGCTAACACAAAAGTTTATTTTTCACAGTGTTCTAAGTTGTCAGTACACAAATAATCATAAAATTTTAAATTATTATTATGATTATAAATTGATAACTCAGGATGTTACACTTTCAAGTGGCATAGCAGGATGAGTATGTTTTCACATGATTAAGAAATTTATACATACTTTTCATTTTCACTTTTTATAGTTGGCAAGGATAGTACAGATGAGGGAGAAGAAGATGATATAGATGGAGATTATCTATTAGTTAAAGAACATTCTGGAAAACAATTTGATGGTTAGATAATAGATCATTATGAATTGTAATATTAATAATAATATTCCTTGTATAATATTTTGATCAACTAAAATATGTTGGGAGAGTTGTGGTTGGCACCTGAACCGTAGAATTAGGTGTAGGCCAATAGTCTGAAGAAGAAATACCAACCGACCCAACCTTATTATACAGATATTGCCTGCTTAGAGGTGTAATATAACATTTGATATCCCCGAGGGAATTATATTTTTTTCGAAGGAATATATTTTCCCGAAGCGCATAGCGCTGAGGGAAAATATAGTCCTGAGAAAAAATATAATTCCCAAGGGGATATCAAATGTTATTATTACACCGATAGAAAGGCAATATCTGTTATATTACATAGCCAAAAATAGATGCAAATAATTAACTGAACACATAATACTTTAAATATCAAGAACTTTTATTTAACTTTTAGACAATATCCGTCATATTACATAGCCAAAATACTTCATATTACCGTCATTTTTTTGAAATGTTTCTGTTGTATCATTGATCTTTTAGCCTACAATTCACCATTTGCTCTCCTTAACTCAGCGTAGAATGACCGGAGAAACGTAACTCGTTGAGCTCCGTTGCTGTGACATTTTCAATGCAAGTAGGCTAGGCCTAATTTGATGATTCCTCGTCCTTACAATATTCACTGAGTGGGCCTACATTAAAGGATATAATTCTGTACTCCGAGAATCCTTTTCGTCAATAATTCTATCCAATTCGTCTTCGTCGAGAGATTTAAACTTATTTGAAGTCGCCATTTTCGAAGCGCTAGGCTTTCCACATTCACATTTCGTGAGCGATAGATCATGCGCTCAACTAGCATTCTACGAGCGCAATGTGGGTGTAATCCGGTGACGTCAGAGACCGGTCACTTTTCAAAGTTATATTTCCCTACGGGGAAATATAACTTTTCCGATCCTCGTAGCGCTAGTCACGTGATGCCATTTCGACCAATCACATACTCATATTTACATAGGCTATGTAATATATTTAAATGTCACTCTGTTTGAGCATCACAACAATTTTTTGGCCTTATTGAAATCATCTAATAATTGATATTGACTGTTTTAATTTATGATATTTTGAATTGACTGTTTTTATTTATACTTTGTTAACTGACTATTAAATAATATACTTTAAAGTTATATTTTATGTATATAATTAGTGTCGTTTACAAGTATAAAGACCAGCACTAGTCTTACTGTGAGAAAACACAACTCTTGCAATGATGTTAAACATGATAAATAGCGAAATAAATAGTAGTTTATATTGGGTTATGCACTGCTGCTAATGCGAACTTAATGAAAATGTTAAATATTAAAGATGGATATAATATTCAGTATTTAGTATACGTTACACTGTGATAATTGTTTTAGAGGAAAACCTTTAACTTGGAAAAGAACTAGCCCTTGATATATGTGTAGGGCATTTTGATGAAGCCTGGTTTTTCACTGAGACGGCTACTCTCCTCAAACCATACATTGATGATGACGACAAATAAATTGTAAATGTTGATTACTTATTTGTAGATCTCGTGCTGGAAAATGTTGCAAGTGATTTATTTGGTGTGATTCTTGCGTGTCAGTCAGCATCCCAACCTGCCAAGATGTTTCTTGCCTATTCGGCAATATTCAAACAACCATCTCTTGCTGTGCTGTCTGGTTGCTTTCAAGTAAACAACTTTTATTAAGTTGATATTTGTTATTGTTTTATATTATTTTATTATTTATTAATATGTTATGTTATGTTAAATTATTTTCAATTACATCACATTATATGTTTCAATTTAATAATGTAAATAGGGAATTGTATAGGAAGTCAGAGAGATATTCTCAGGCGTTAAAGTGAACAAGGTCACTGGTCCGGATGGCATAAGCAACCAAATGTTAAAGACATGCAGCCACCAGTTGGCTAATGTGTTTGGAGAAATCTACCAGTGAACTGTTGACACTGGTACCATCTCAATTATATGGAAAACATCAGGAATAACATCAGTGCCAAAAACAAGTAAAATTGCAAATAAAAATGACTTCCGACCAGTGGCCTTAACTTCCATAGCAATGAAATGTTTAGAACATATTGTTTTAAAATTTCTGCTAGGTGAGGCTAGTGTTTTAATTGATCCAATGCAATTTGCCTATAGATCTAAAAGGGAGGTCGAAGATACTGTACTAGTATACTTAGATAAGATACTCAAACACTTAGAAACACCAAAAACATTTGTGCAGACAACTTTTATAGATTTTTCTAGTGCTTTTAATGCAATTCAGCCTTATCTACTTATAATGAAACTGCTAGATATGAACGTAAATGCTAAACTCTTATTATGGATCTTAAATTTCCTCAGGGACAGACCATAGTTTGTTAAAGATAACAACAGAAAATTTGATGTACGAACGAACAATCAATGCTGGAGCACCGCAGGGATGCGTCCTTTTACCTATATTATTTTTGTTGTACACAAGTGATTGTAAAAGCAATAATCAAGGTTGTTCAATCATAAAGTACTGTTATAACTGGCTATATGAAAAACGATCAGGCTTTTTACTTGGATGAATTAAGGAAATTTGTTAAGTGGTGCGACGATAACTTTAAAAAACTAAGGAAATGATAATGTACTTCCGTAAAGACCCCACTGCCCTAATCTAACTCACTATTCATGGCGAGCTTGTAGAGCAAGTGGATGAGTACAAATACTTTAGGTACAATTATAGACAACAAACTTAATTGGAATAAACAAACTGAAGTTACTCAATGTAAAGCAAACCAATGACTACTTTTTAAGGAAGCTTAATTTAAAGTAGATAGAACTATTCTTCATTTATTTTATCAATCAGTTATTCAAAGTCTTTTAGTATTCAACTTAGTATGTTTCTACGGTAATATGTCTAAATTAAATAGAAACAGATTAACAAAAATAATTAGAGCAGCTCATCGAATTATAGGATGTGATATTGATCTGAAAACAATGGAAGAATTATATGAAAAGTTTGTAGAGCTTAGACTAAGTGCAATAATTAAAGATACTACGCACCCTCTACACATTAATTATACATACAATCGTTTAGCAGCAGCAAATCTAATTGACTCTTGCTCCGGGTTTTAATTTTGTCAGTTTATTGTATTTTTAACTATTTGAGTTCTATTTTTGTGGCAAACCATGGAACTAACACCTGTGAATCATGTGCTCTCAATCATGTATTTTTAAATTGTTTTTATCTCATCTTGTACTTTCACATGTTTTTATTCCTTTTTATCTGTGTATATGTCTTATATTGCCAAAGCGGAAACAAATTTCCATTTTTTATATTGGACAATAAAGTTATCTTATCTTATCTTATAATAATGTATCATGTAGTTTAGTACTTATCCAATTCTGAAGTTTATTTTGTTTGCTTTTTGTTTAAGAATTCAAATCTCCTTAATTGCCTTTGTATGTTTCTCATGACATCAATGAGAAATGAAGATGTTGCTATGGTAACAGGGACAGAGATGGCCTCCCTTCAGTGGCATGAATGGACAGTGAATGAATTGATGAATATTGTAGACATTGCCATGGAAACAAGAAAGACTCTAATGTTGTGTAAAGCATTCCAAATTTTTCAGCCAGTAAGTTATTAGTAATAATAATAAATATGAATATTAGTATAGCACTTATTACACAGGTGTCATAAACAATGATGAAACAATTTAATTGAATTTCCCCCATTTTTTCCTTTAAAAAAATATTTAAACCCTTACATATCACACAGACATGCAAATAGTGAAGCAGTTTGAAGAAGTGGATATACAGTAAATAGATTACATGTGTAAATAACTATAGTCCTAATTATAGTCTAAAGTCAGAACTGTTGATTTCTTAGGCACTCGCACTTAAACCACCAGTGGGGCTATTCACTATTCAGTACACAGCTGTGGCACAGTTAATCACACCCCTTAGACTGCTTAGGTTACCACGGTAGGCCCATTATGAGCCATGAGTTTCTTGCTGTGCTGTGTATTACAGTGCCAGCCAATTTAAGGCCTATGGAAAAGAATAGAAAAATGGTATTATTTAACTGTTAAATGACGAGAAAAATTTTCTCATTTAGATTGTGTATCTTACTTATAATATGCAGATGAGGCAATTCAAATATAGAATTAATTTGACAGACAATACCTATATTTAGACCATATGACTAGACACCAGAATAACTCATCAGATATATATTTTGTTCTGTAGAATTCACCTTTAACAACATTTCTGGAGTTCATCTGTGATTTTTGTGTGAAATCTGATGAAGTGGGTGCCGCAAAGCATCTTGCAAATTTTCATGATGCATTTATTCAAGTAAGTGCAGTACTGTATTCTGTATGCAAAATGACATAAATCCTAACACTTGATATGGAAGTGTTGAAAAAATTAAATAAAATGGTAAGTAATACAGGAGGAACTACTTCAGGTGAGGGATGTGTACTGAAGAAGTGGATTGTGTGTACAAAACTCGTATTTTTATAAATGTTTAATCTAGTCTTTAATCTGCTGATTTCATTTAACTTCCTGATCATGTGTCATTTTGTTGTAGATTGTGAAGAGCTCATGCAGTTTGCAAGGGAGCACTGTGGCTGTGGAGAGTATAACAGACATCAGTAGCTCTAGGTTTATAGAAAATTCCATCTCTAGATTGACACTTTTGATGTTCAAAACTTGTCGTAACTTTCCTGAAATCTGCAGACTCTTAAAGTTAATGGCAGGTGTAAATTTCTCTGAAATATTTTCACATCCAGGTAAGGAAATCCATGGATTGAACTTGATGCAAGTGGAGAGCTTGAAAAATTGTTACTTTTGTGTTTGTTTAGTTGTAATTGGATTAGCCAATATTTACTTTATGTGCTAATATTTGATTGGATTATTTTCTACTTAATAATAGCAATATCAATAATACTTTTATGTACTTTACTTTTTTACATTTAAATACCGTACAGTACATTTAAGTACAGTACAATACAGAACTCTTCCTTTGAGACACCCCTATTAAGGGTACACTTTCAATCACAAAACAAGGGAAAGTATCTCTTTTAACACTACAGCCTAACACTATTCAGGGGACACTCCTATTAATGGGACACTTTCAATCACAAAACAAATTTCTTTTAACAGTACAGCCTAACCCTATTTAGGGGACACTCCTCTTAATGGGACATTTTCAATCACAAAACAAAGGAAAGTATCTCTTTTAACACTACAGCTTAACACTATTCAGGGGACACTCCTATTAATGGGACACTTCTACTGTATTGAATTCATTTTATTTTATGTATAAGGTACAAAAGAAATTCAATTAAGTATTTTATTAACTTTCGGTGGAAAATATTTTCTTGTCTAAAATTAACTCACAGATAGATGATGATATATAGTCCCTAGATTTAAGAATTTTTGTAATTTACATATCAGTAAAACTAAATGGTTTTTGGTATTTGACGCTTTGGATATTTGAAATTTGTAATTTTCAGTTTTGTAGTAAAATGGAATTTTTATATCTTTCAAGTTGCAAATTATGCCAAGCTGTATGAGTTGAGTTTGATTATCAAAAGCACGTCTGTACAACTGGACATCAGAGAACTCCTGTCTGGGGATGGGAGCATTTTCCACAAACATTGCCAAGAAGTGTTGGTAAACCTGCAAACAGTTAAAGACTTCGCCAGTGCTAAGCGGTTTGCCCTTGCAGCAGGATTAAACATGGATCATGTTGTTCTCCATGAGGTCAGATACACTAAACTCAGTTTATGATACCTCACATCTTAATCTTTGAAAACAAGTTACAAATACTTTACTGTATCATACCATAAGTAGACTCTCTTGTGATAATTATGATAATAATAATGAAGCTGAAAGAGCAAGAAAACAAAATTTATTATTGTTCTCATTATCATGGTTTATTTTTTGTTGATCCAGTAAGAAAAAACATGATTTTTTTCTCACTATTTTTCCCGGATTTACGTCCAGATCCAGTTATCTTATATTGGAATAAAACCAAAAAAATGATAATTAGACATATGTTTTTGTGTTGTGAAGGGATTTGCTACTTGGAAAAGTGATTACATTTGCTGTTTGGCACATACTTGGTCTTTGGCCTAAACAAATAATAAACAATAAGTAAAATAAGAAGAGCTTATGTAATGTGTTTCTGTTTTATTTCTTGAAAATTATGAATTCTCGTACCATTGGAAGATACAGTAGATGTTTATGAAATGTTTATGATTTATTTTTGTAATTAATTTTATTTCAACAGTTAAAAGATGAATTACAACAAATGAAGAATAACTCTCAGTGGCAATCAGAAACTGTCCGGCATTTATTTTGGGAGAAATGCAATAAAGAATTACGATCATCTAGAATATCAAATAAAGTTGCTTTCCAGTTTTTCAGAGTAAGTTTTTACTAAAAGATATTCTTGGCTATATCATTCCATTAATTTGTTTACTGATTACCAAGGTGAATAATTTACTCACATGCTTAACGGCTTGTTTCACAACTAAATCAGTTCATATTGTTTTGAATTGCATTTCTTGTAGAGCATTGCTAGTGATCCAAGTCTGAATTTGAGCACAAGTGAGAAGATACTGATCCTGTGTATGGCTTTAGACTGGCTCTCAAAGGTTACTGCAACTACTTCTGCAAGCTATGTTAGCTTGGAACAGGAAGTCTGGAGACTAAGGCTAGATTTAGAAATTGAGAATATCCAGGTATGGTTGTTTAAAAAGTGGAATATGTAAATGAGATTGCTGTTTATGATGTTACCATTCGTATCTCAAAATGTTGGCATCACAATGATTATTTAGTACTTTTAGTAAATTACTTGCTACTAGATAAGAATAAATTAAAAATTAATAGAAAAACTATAGTCATGCTGATTTAGGGCTGATGGGTGATTGTAAGTAAATTTGTAAATGATTTTTATTGATCAATAGAATGAAGACCATGGCATATCACTGCATGAACATCATGTTAATCCAAGAAAATTTCAAGACATATTAGGGTCAGATGTCAAATATCATGGTCCAGATGAATTCCTGTATTTAGCAGACTACGGGTTGACTGATAACCAGCCAAAGCAACCTGCTGTAAGTTTGTTCATCCATCTAAATACAGTCAAAAGCACTCATTTGAATTCCCTTCTTTTACAAAAAGATTTATTGTTAACAATATAGATATGTTTACTTACAACTGACCAACCTCATTTTACATAAAAGCGCTTGATCCATTTTAGGATTTACTTATTTATTAATAAACTTCTCAAAAAAATACAGAAGTGACGGAGGCGAGGCAACAGGTGACGAACACCTCTATAGTGGCTCGCTCCTTACAATTTACCAACAGATGCACTTATTATGTTTAAATAACAGAGTGAACGTTACTCCGAATATTCGGAGTAACGGATAATCAGATAATGGTGGGCTGATCCTTAGAGAATGGCAGGGTGATATAACCGAAATGTTGTTTCAACCCTTTCTCACAAACGAACATTGCTGGGTCAACACTTGGGTAGTGTGGGTTTAACACACAACATGGTGATCTGAAGTAATTCGTGGTCATGTTGCATGCAATGTAGTGTCAGTTATACTGTATGATGAAGGCAATTTTCAAAAATGCTCAGTACTTCTCAGCTTAATATCCATTTTACATACATTGCAGATTAAAGTAGTACTATGCTGTTTTAAAGTTAAAGAAGTTTTGATGATGAGAACAAAAGACAACAAGATTTCCACTAATGATATTTACTGACTGAGCTGTAGACCTACTGTATCCTCGGCTAGGCCTTCCCCAAATTTCATTGCACAAACCATAAAATCACCTCATTTTTCTCCAATGTTCACTAGTGTTGTTATTATCATTTAGGACCTTGTAAACTTGACCATCTGGCTAGATAAAACATTGTCTGCTCTTCACACCCTTCAACATCCATTTAGTTAATTAGCAGCAATTTACGAAGCCAACCGTTATCCAAGGGTCGACTTGCCAATATTGGTCTGTGGTTAAGGGGCTCTTTTGTGATGATCTGGAGTAATATGAAAACATATTTGTACTCTTTAGGAAGCAGCTGCTCTTCAAAAGATCGTTGGTGACTTACTTGGGAGATTCTGCATCATTCAGGCCTTCAGAATCTGCGACCAATTCAAACATTTCAGCCAAGACTTAACCGTAGTGTTAACATGTATAAAACTTGCTAGAGGAAAGGTAACAGTTGATGAGCTAAGTGCTCAAATGAAGACATTACTTGCCAGAGGAAGAAGAAAGAGGCCAAGTTTGTCAGAGTCAATGAACTCATTAAATAGAACATACAGCTGTAAGTGCCTGTCATTTGCTCAGCAGGCAGGAAAAATTTATCAGTTTTTGATTAAGTGGTGTAGATGATGTAGATTAAATATCCCTGTCTGAAAATCTGAAAAGTTTCAGCTAGTAGGCCACAATGGCTTTATTTGACTGGTCATTCTTCATTGAACCACGCCCACCTGTGCAGTGGTAAAATCCTAGTTAACAAAGACGACCAGTGAAAATAGAAAACTGGTAAATACTCGACAAAACAAAATGGCTGCATAGTTACCATGATACATGCAGCGTAATCAAGGTTGCTTTGGATTGTGGCAGTATGGGTTTTTCGTAAAAAAATGTTGTCATCCAGTTTTTGAATTCTGTTAGCCTACAATTACTTTTCGACTTCATGTGGGTAAATATTATAATTTTTATTTTCTGAAATTTAATCTAAATTATATTAACGTAAATGTTGTTGCCAAACTGTCTAATTGGCTATGTTTTTTTTGGTCACATGTATAACTTAATGCTGATTAACACACTCTGGTTTACGTTAATTTTCGTTGTCAACGAAGTCTTTTTTACGAACCAGTCAAATGAAAATAATACCTAATGAAAAATTGTAGTCAACAAAATGAACCAGTCGAATAAGCCCAATGTAAGACAAGAATTAACATTATTGTTTTTGTAGCATGCTTCTATTGCCATCAATATTTAGGATGGTAAAAATATTATTTGTGTTTTAATATTGTTAGTAGTTTCTTTGATATAATTTTTTTTTTTTGTATTTCTAGTATCAAGCATCTCTAGTGCAGGTGATATTGATGAATCTAATGAAGTGTTGATGTGTCTGGAGACATTTTGTGAACATTCCAAGGATGGTAGGAAGTGTTGTGAAAGGATCACTAACTGCTACAAGGTTGCTCAGGTTCGCCTTGTTCACAGGCAATTGTGTTTGTGCTCTTTTGTTCAGTTTCTGTTCGATATAGGATAAGTTAGTATATTTTGGGACATGTGTGCACATTCAAACAAAGTAAATAGGATTACCAACTGCTAACTGTTGCTCAGATTAGTTTTAATCTAGTTTTAATGTTATCTTCTTTTTCATTGTAAACAGCAGTTGGAATGACTATTTGAAATGTTTGATGTATTTACCATTTTTCTCATTCATTAGATCCTAAACTGTCCTTATGAAGAAGTTGTGACTCAATCCCTGATTGAGACCCTGAAAATCATCCTTCAATCAAACACACCGCAACAGTTTTCAACTGCTAAGGATTTCATCCAGACAACAGGAATGAATGATACTGATGTAAGAGAGAGTGACAAACAAGATTGATAGCTACTGGGGGAGAGCTGCACAGTAGTACTGTATTAAGATAGAGCAGCCAACTAGAGAAAAATTAGGTGGTGGATGGAAAGATGGAGTGGGTAACAAACAGGATAGGTGCACACAATGTTAATGGGTAATTAAGTACTAGGAAGTTGGGGAAGAAAGTTAGAAGCAGAGCAGAGGGTGGATGAAAGATCAGCATATAATTAGGAATAGTATACTGTAGGAACTGGAGTACTGTAAACGGAAAGTGTCTAAATCTTCTGTCTACAGTATGTATAAATGATAATAATTATTGTGGTACTTTTTATTGTGGATTAATTTTTGTTTTCATGCATTTTAAGGTGTCCAGTTTCCTGGCAGACATGATTATTAAGCAGGTGACATTAAAAGCACAGAAACACCAACAGGGTAAGTCAACTGACACCTTCAAATTTGAATACGCTGAGTAATAATATAATGATGATATATTATTTAATTAGCCTTTAGTACAACATTTTAAATAAATGATTTTTGCTTCAGGGCAATATGTTGTAGATTCTTCTCAAGTACAACTGTCAAGGAAGCCATCAGATAAAGAAGAGTTGTCAAAGCTCATTAAACTATGTCAAAACCCTGCAACCCTTGGTAACAGACTCATTCAGGAAGCAAAGGCACTCTTGGACAATCCTTCCACCTCAAAAATTGGTAAACACAACACAGTACTTTCAATATAACAAGATTTCACAAAAGATAAATGCATGTTTTTCATGAGGATCAGCATAAATTGTAGTGAATAAATGAAAGTTTCAGATAAAAGTTCATTGGCACCAAGAAGAGGTGTTTTTGTTTTACTAATACAAAGTGCATAGAGACCTTGCATGGTATAATGTGCTATATAAAAACTTATTTGCATCACGGAAAGCATCACCCATCTTAGTCCGACATGAACAAAAGCCAAGAATACAGTGTCATTTCATGACAAGTAGTTAAGAAAACTGATCTAAGATAAAGAGTAGTAAGTGATGGATAGAAAACAACCCTTAAATTTTTATTATTTTTTCTTAGCTCACACACTTCTAGTTGAACTGATTATCCGAGCTCATGATTGCCACACCATCTGCTGTAATATGGAAGGTATCTCCAGTGTACTGAGGTTGTGCCGTGACTGTACCCCAGTACTTGGTAGGGCTGAAGAACATAGGCTTATGGTAAGAAAGTTTTCTATATAAACATATATTAACATTCTAAGAAAGACTGCTTCACTCACAGGTTAATGGATTCAGAAGCTACACATTGATAGTGGAATATAATACTGTTTACATCTGAAACTTGGTTGTCAAAACTAATGTGGAGCAACACACTCTATTAAATGTATTTCTAATGCAGTGAGATGTAACATTTTTTCTCGGTCTAGATTCGTCTAATTATGGGAGTGGGACGTTACAGTGAGATGATGTATGCGTTTGAATATCTCCACAAGGCAAAGAAAATTGAACAGCTTGTCAAGGTTGGATCTAAGGTATAAAAACATATGGAAAACAGAGAAAGGAAAGATTAAAAATAACATTGAAATGGAACGAATTAAATAGATTGATCATAGCTGTAATTGTTTAATAGGTTTACAGTATATGCAGTAATCTATATAGTATTTGTAGTACAGTAAGTGTAGGCATATATTGATGCAGTCTCTCTATGTAGTAAGTTTTAGTTTCAGTTTCAGTTTATTTATTAGACTAACAAGTTTGGGAGAAGCTTAAGCAAACAAAACACTATAAATTTTCAAGTCTGCTGCCATCTCATACAATATACTATTCGATAAAAAGACAAAATTTACAATCACAAAAGACAGAAAAAAATAATTTTAACATCATTGGAGAAATATAAAAAAAAGTATAAATAAAATAAAGAAAAACAGAGCAAAAGTTAAGTTGGAGAAAAACAAAGAAAATGGCAAAAATTTCAGAATAAAACTGTTACATAGTGTGAAAATGGGAGTGAAGGCTGTTTAAAAAGGACCCAAGTGACTTGCAGGTCAACACATCTTTAATTGGATTTCAATCTAACATCATATCGGATTTCCCCTCTACCAACTCATGATTTATGACATATTTTTGAATGCGCTCTAAGCGAGTACACTGTTTTTTTGTCTGGGGCATCCATGCAGGTTGACCGTAGTGGGGCAGTACCAGAGACTTGTATAGAGGGTAGAATTTGGGTTCAGGGAAATAGGGCAATAAAAAATATCAATCCTAATAACTTATTACATTTACTGACAATAGTAGCAACGTGGGCATTCCATGTAAGTTTATCATCTATGGTAAAACCCAAGTGCTCATATTATTTAACAACATTAAGTTTTTCGTCATTAAAATTATATTCAAAGTGAAAGGGGCTTTTCTAAATAACATTAGTGGAAAAGCTGATCATTTTTGACTTCTGAAAAAAAAATCCTGTGTTAGGATTTAGAGTAGTATCTAATACAGTACATTGTCAATATTTGGCTCTGTACTCTCTCCATTGTTTTGTGTTGTCTATTTTCTCGTGTTTGTGGTGCAATATAAACTAAAGCATATTAAATGCAGAAAATGAGGAACATGTATTGATAAAAAAGTCCAACTTTTTGTGTACCTTCATGTTTTATTTTGGTTTTAGGATGGAAAGCTAAAAATAGCTCTACTTGATTACCTAAAACGGTGTAAACCTGCTGATCCAGAAACATACAACATGGTTTCACTCAAGTTTAGAATGCATCGCGAAATTGGAGAGATGTTGGAGAAGGGTGCTTTAAAGAATCTGAGGGCTCTGGCTGACAGGCCTATGGGTATGTCAACCTATTTTTTAACATCATATCTCATGAGGGTGACCATTAGGGAACCTTGATGCTGTATAGCTTGGAGAGTGGAGAGCTGATCATTTGGGACCATCAAGTTTTGTTATTAGGCTGGGTGAGTTGAGAGCTGATCATTTGGGACCCTCAAGTTTTGTTATTAGGCTGGGGGAGTTGAGAGCTTATCATTTCCTCAATGATCTATAACCAAGAATTGGGAAGTTAATCTTAACATTGTCTGCTGACTGTCAGTGGCTGAGTGGATTGTCAATAAAATCAATCCCTTGCATGTGTGTCATTGTCTTGCGTTCTCCATGGAATTGTATTGGTCGACGATCATCAGCACATGATCAGATTGGACCTCTGTTCTTTAACCATTTCTTGTTTTGTGACTTTGAGGGAGTTGAATAGTTGGGACCTAATAATCTATAACCAATTGTCTTTCTGAGGATTTGGTATTGGAGAGCAGGTTATTACAAACATTTGATGCTCTATAACCAAGTCTCTTTATGAGGTTTAGAATGTGGGGAGCCTTGAAGTACAGTAGTTAGGCCTATACAAGAAGGGGAGAAAGAAAGCTCAATAAATAATTATCTATTTCGAAGTCCCATTATGAGGTTTGGGAATTGGAATTTTTTTTAGGGTCGTGAGAAAAATTGAGCCAAGGACCTTGGCATTGGAAGGTGAGAAGGTCTTTAATCATTCCATGAGTGACTTGTAGTCTTGAAGATGTACTATGCACCTTGGCCAATGCCTCTTAGAAGTATAAATATTCTTTACTGTTGCTTTTATATGCAGTGGCGACGCAGGGCAAGAGTTCTACTTGATGTGTTGCATCATCGGAGGGTCGAGCCGGGAGAGGGCTTGAGGAAATTTATGAAAGTAATAAGCCACTAGATTCTCATAGATGGCATCTTGACCTAAGGAATTTGTTTTTTGTATCTCATTGTTGTCCAAATTATAATTCATTTCAGCCCAACATATGATATAAACGTTTTATATTATTTTTTTATCCTCCAAACGAATTCCTAGACCCCCTTCCCTAGAACCGCCACTGTTCATATGTAATATTATGCAATTTACAGAGATGTTATTTTATTTATAGAGACCAACATTGAACTCCAAAACTGTTTGCAAGAAATTCTGCAAGGTTTGACAGAGGCAGCTCAGAATTATGCCAAGGTAAGTTAGTTTGCAGACTAACAATTATATAATAAAACCTACCTAATGTAAAAACCTACCTAATGTTGGAACTTGTGGTCTGTCACAGCAGGTTTTAGGATTTCCAATTCGATCTTATTTTACATGCCAAATTATTGTGTTTTCCATTAATTAAAAATATGTAAGTCAAATTTTATTAAGTCGAACAATATTTTAATTGATTGGACTTAGGCATGTTCAACTGTATTTTTATTATATTTAACCATTCTTAATTATTGACTTTGAAATGAACATGTTAAAACAATTGTATTATGTTAACACTACACTGTGAGCATTGATGCATGTGCATGTAACCATTATGTGCAATAAATGCCATTTGCCAGTAATGTATGAATTACTGTTTAAGATTCAAAATATTTATTCGTCACCAGTGTAAGGAAATTTCATTTCTCGCAAAGGTACATAAAAGATAAAATGCAACAAGAAGAAAGTTAAAAATTGTACAGGGTAAAAATGTTAAAATTACTGCAATAACACTCAAAATTGAAATTTCATACTGTATTACTTTATTTTTTAAAGATGAGGAGTACAAGTCTTATGCATATTAAAATTTTTCAGGAGAACTGTTTACGTCATGCAGAGCATTGCATTTGTCAGGCAAGATTGGTGGCTCTTCAACTACACTTGTTGTCAAGCGATATGCGTGTGATCAATCTCGATTCAAATGAGTTTCACAAGTTTATAACTCATCATGAAAAGTTCCATGAGGTAGAGCAGGAATATACTTGTCTTTTATATTTTGATTTCCTAATTAAACTTCATTTTTAATATTTTTCTGTAATCTTATAGATTTCTGTAGTATAAATGCTAGAGTGTAATAGTTCTTTGTGCATATATGCCATTATATGAATATCATGGTTGCTATATCTTTAACTATAATTTTAGAAAAAAAAAATTCTTTGTAAATGAATACTAATTACCTTTTATTGAAGGAACATTATTTGTGATCCAGCAATTGAAAAGTTTTGTTTGGTTGTACACAAAAACCGGATTTTTCATGTATGCCTAAAAACTAGACTAAAATGTTGAGAATAAGCTTATTTTTTCTTTATGTGGTACACATCCTTCTTACCTACTGAATTACTTTAACTTCCACTGTACTGTCCTTACGCAGTTTACATAACATATTCAGACATGTGTTACTTTTGTAGTGACAAGGCCTTGTTCATTGTAGATTTGTGTTAGTGTAAAATTGTTATTTTACAATATTCTAATTGGCATAAATAGGAAGTCAAAAAATGATCTAATGGTAAGATGCCTACAAGGATGGTGGTATGATATACTTCTTCCAGATTTGTGGAGGCATCTGGGAAGTAAATCGAAAGAAACATTTTGTCAGTGTCTCAAATTAGTATGCAATAATAATACCATAGCAAATATGCAGTATACCATATGGATACAGTATGTCTGAAACTGAAAAGTGTTGAGAATATCTTGATGTTGCATATAGATTGTTTTTCTCATCTTTAGTAATGATTAGCTGACACTAGGATGGGGCATGATGTGATTGGCTGACAACTAGACAATAATGTGGCTAGTTGTATGTAAACTTTAAACTACTAGTATTTAAAAACATTTTTTTTTTCAGTTTATACAGAATTTTCAGAAACACAAGACCATTTGTATTACTTAAATGAAACTTCATTGAAAACTTCCTAAAAAATACTTTGTTGTCTTTCCACTAGGCTTTGCTTGTTGCAAGAGCATATACTGATCAGCATGTCAACTGGTCTAATGCCCTGTATTATAATGTTATTCAACAAGGCAACTTTATGTTTCTTGACGATTTTAAACGAAGCCTGAGGCTTGAAGAATCACACTTTATGGACGTGTCTGCAAGGTTAGTACAGTACCACTGATTTACCATTTACTCAGCAATTTTATAGAAATAAAAATGTTGGTTTTTACAATACTAAATTAGTGTGAATGTGTTTAGCACTCTTTTTAATATATTTAACATTAATTACATCATATATATATATATATTTTAAATCATGTTTATTTTCTTATGCTTCTTAGGTATAAACATGATCAGGAAAAAAAGCCAGAAATGAGAGAGAATATGGAACGTTTACTAAGTTACTGTAAAGAGTTAAAAACAGCATATGACATAGCTACAGAACTAAACTTTCAAGATATTGCAATGGACATGTTGAAGGGAGAAGGTGGATCTTATCTACGAGATGTAATATGACTACACATCCTATGGATGTGAAATATGATTGCTGATAACTTGCACATATCTTATTTTAAAACAACTACTGTATTGCTAATATTGGTGCTGATTATGCTCAGGGGGATGAGTGAATTTTTCTAATGTGAACTTTTTCACAACCTGGACATTTCTCAACCTAGACATCGCAGTTTGAAAGGTTTGGGGTATGAAATGATGACAACCCATTAGAAGTAATGATGATAATAGTAATACTGAAAAATGAATAATAATCTGTCTCTTATACACATCTAGATGTGTATAAGAGACAGTCCAGCAATTGAAAAGTTTTGTTTGGTTGTACACAAAAACCGGATTTTTCATGTATGCCTAAAAACTAGACTAAAATGTTGAGAATAAGCTTATTTTTTCTTTATGTGGTACACATCCTTCTTACCTACTGAATTACTTTAACTTCCACTGTACTGTCCTTACGCAGTTTACATAACATATTCAGACATGTGTTACTTTTGTAGTGACAAGGCCTTGTTCATTGTAGATTTGTGTTAGTGTAAAATTGTTATTTTACAATATTCTAATTGGCATAAATAGGAAGTCAAAAAATGATCTAATGGTAAGATGCCTACAAGGATGGTGGTATGATAT